GGATGTGGATAAGCAGCCAACATTACTCGTTTCCTTGTACTTGCCTTGATTACTAGTCGAGCCGGGTAGATGCATAAAATGTTCATAAGTTTTTTTTGCTAGCTAGTATACTCACCTAGGTCTAACTAGGCTTCTTTTAATAGAGAAGCACACAGAACAACCAACTGTACATTTTCGTTCATGCTTTCTACGAAAAACTGTAGCTGTTAAATGAGTGGTGTTCTTCTTATGTGCATTCCATCTCGAGTGAGAAAATAGGAAGTAGAATGGTGTATTCATCGTTTTCGCCAACCGTTCGCATTCGCAGATGGAAACGATTTCCTTATCACGTGATGCGCCACACGGATGTCATCATGTCCAAAGTGAACCGCCACCATGGCCGATGACTGGGAGAAAAGCAATGAATGGAAAATCTGATGAAACGCACTGCTAGTGAAGAGTAGCTATCTAGGTGCCCAGTAAACTAGGTGTTCCCCGTATTAACATATAAGTTGTCAGTCTTTCTTAATAATCATCAGTTATCGCCTTCGCTGGTCACTGATCGCATTTGTAAAAAGTTATCGTAATAAAACACAACACTTCAAGAGTTGCGCAATTCTATATCACTAACTTGATTGTGCTCTTATAAATGTTCTTGTGTTCATGTCAGAAAGTGTTGGTGGCAAGCAGTCATATACCACCCTATCATTTCTTCAATGTTAACATCCACTAAGGAAACAAAATGGAAATTCAGGTCACGTTCAGTGTACAGTTATCGCGGGAGAGTCAGAACCATCGCAAGTGCTATTGAGGAAGTGCTTAAGTAGTCAACGCCTTTGGTGGTGCTCATGTATAAGTTCATAAAAGTTAACATTGTGATTTTCAACTGCAGCCTCAGCTTAACTGGGTTCAAAGCCAATTTAGGGTTCCTAGGTCAACCCGTTGACGGGTGGTTGCTGATGGCACAGAGTGATAGAACAAGCTCAGAGCTAGGTGAATCAAAGGACCTGCATGGTGTGGTAGTGAACGCGTTAGCTCCTGGAAAGGGTATTAGCGCCATTTCGTTCACCAGCGCACAATTGTAATGAGTAGTAAATAAAAAGTTAACATTAATCGTTACTCTTTCGTCGTTTCGAGGATTTCTTCACGATCATTTGAGTAATGCTCCATCCACTGTATTCAACTCACTGCGACTGCGAAAACCTTCACCGAAAGAATGAGTGGCTGCTAACAATCGGCATGAATTAATCCAGCTCCGAAGAAGCGAAGGGGACGACACGTCAGATGATTAAATTCTTATAACAACTTCGCATTGGTACATTTTTGCATGGCCGAGTTGACACGAAGTTAGCATAAACCTTTGCTTGACTAGCGTTGTTCCTCAGAGCCGCATTGATATGCATTGATGGTCCATAGCTGCTCATTGTCGCCATGTGGATTTTCGTAGCAGCATCGAGTCGAAACTAATAGAGGGAGCCCTGCTCGAATGGGGAAACCTAGTGAGCGGTACTCTCTTATACAGGACGGACGTTGGTAGATTCCTTCCCAGCACGATCTAGGATGGGCGGATATTGTTGTCCTGTAGCAGTCGGTACTTCATTTGAAGGAACGTAACGTGAAAATATCTTTAAAAATCTTATTTACATAGGTACTTGGCCGGCCCATCCTCACTGGTTGTGCGGGCACCAGGATATTCTCTAATTTTCGGAGTTTCGCTGGCTTAGCCATTGTGTTTCCCTGGAGTCCCGAGGACAGCCTGGTTAAAGTCATCTCCACGTCGTCACCACCACATGCACTCGCCACCATTGAGGATCAGAGGGCGATTTTTCACCATGCGACTAGCTTGGTGCCAGGAAGGTGACGGATCTTGGTATTGATTTACTCTGAGCTGAGCTTCCTGAAAGAAACGACGGACTCCTTCTTAGCTTGGGAGACTCTGTCAGGTGGATGAATCCACCCGCTGTACATCGCAGCCCAATACCCAGGAACACCACCTAGCCACGAAGGGACGGTAAACCGTTTGGAGGCTTTAAAAACTTTTGTCTATCTTAAATCAGTATCTTAAACTTCTTATTAGTTTATCGGTGAAAAACCATTTTGTCTAATTTCTTGCATTATTTCTTAGTATTAGTAGTCTCTCCAGAATTAACGGAGCTATAGAGCTAGTGCTAAGAAGAGACTGCCTCAGTGCTTGAAGGTCTCGTGCAATCAAAAAGTAGCCTTGGTTCGCTTTGTGCATGGTTAATATAGAAGCCTCATTCATTGGTTTTTCTTAGCATGTTATCAGAATCTAGTAGATTTTGGAAAAAAAACAGGATTTTTCGTGGCCACCTCATTAATTAATGTTAACTGCAGGATCTCCCAAACTGAGAAAGAGTTCATCAGGAAGTTTAGCTAAGGGTAAACCAATACCTGGATCCACCAGCGTCCTGGTATCAAAGTCGCATGGTGGTAAATCTTCCTTTGATCCACAAAGGCTGCGACTGCCTGTGGTGGTGAAGTCTTGGGTCTGACTTTGACAGGCTGACCTCGGGATTCCAGGGAAGCACAATGGCTTAATAAGTAAATCTCCGAAGAATGGTGATTATGCTGGGGTCCGCACAACCAGTGAGTACTAGCCGTTCAAGTGTCAATTATCAATCGATTAAGATAAAACCCTTAAAGTATGCACATTTCTGCCAAGAAGCAAATTTTTTCCTATCCACCAAGGTGAAATTCCGATTTTCTACAACCCATCAAATACTTTTCTTTCGCTTTCTTTCGTGTGAAGCGAAGCTCTGTTGATTATCAAGCAACAGAATCAAAATGAGTGCCAATACTATGAAGAGCTTTTTGCCAGGCATGGCGAACAGCTGCCAAACCCTCAAAGCAGACAAATTACAAGAATCCGACAACGTTTGACTTCAGATGGCAGAGATGGTGGCGCGTGACCGACAGCGTGCTGTTAGAGCCTCGTTATGGTGGTAGAAGAATGCATTGCGTTTGAGGTTAGGGGTTATGGTTGCTAAATCACAGTTGAATATTTGGCGAGCACAAGGTCTTCAGCGTGTATTTCGTCTTCGATTTTGACTACAATTGTAGCTGTCTGAGCTGCACTAATATTTCACTACTTTTTTTCCTCCGTTATGTCAAAACCACCTATTTTTATCCGAGGACCTTTGTGAGCATCATCTCAATGTGATAATACGGATTCAGTTCAATGCGTGTCTCTTCGATAAGATCGCAGCTTCTGGATTTTGAAAAAACATCTCTTAGCTTGTAGTGAACATTACTAATTGAAGTACCAAATATTACAATCTGCCAATGAATTATTCCTATTTCTCAACGACCAACTATGATTCCTTTGAATACTCATTTCTTTCTTCGTTTTCTATCTGTGGTGTGTTTTCCCATCGAATTATTAAGGAGGCATAATTTAGTCCAGCAGGATACAGTTACATAAACGAATGTATCTCTGAAATTTGATTCATTTAGGAGTTTCACACCTGGATCTGCTTTTCGTTTTTTCCGTTGAAAATCTGTGCTATCAACTATTCCAAAGTTGAAATCGAATATTTCATGAACATTCTTCGTAGCCTTGAGGTGATAGAATCAAGTTTTATTCTGTAAGGCTGTGTAGCTTTCAAGTGTTCCTCTTCTCCATTAATAGTGGAATTACCATTTGTGACCGAAAAACCAGCATCCTAGCGAATATGTTGAATTTTAAAGCCTAATTTACTTTCGACCGGTTTTTTCTTGCAAATTCAGGCCGCCACAGCCCATGTAGATATAAATTGTTCGCCTTAGTGATAATTTCTAGGTTGTGCACGAGTGTCTACAGCCGCTTTGTAACACCGGCATTACTCCCGTAAGCAAAATTGAAAATGGAGGACACATTACCCACTTCTAAGGCGCGATGTGTAGTACTTCTATATTATTTCCCATTTCGTACAGTTACAGAGAAGGAAGCTTAAACTTGTAGTTGAACCACCCATAGCAAAAAAGAAAAGAAAAAAAAAGGAACTACTCAATCGTTAAATCGAAACGGTCAATCATGCCTCAAATCCATGAGCGTTGCCACTGTACGAATGATGTAGCAACCACAGTTCCCTTCAATAAACGGGATTATGTTCTTTATGGTGAAGAAAAATATCAGACCCACATCTAAACCACTGTTTGATCAATAAAGCGATAAATGATGTTAATCACCAATCTCACTAATCGGAAAGATTTTAAATCGAACAATGGCGAAAGACAAATTACGTGTCGGGTGCTAGAGAGGGGATAACGAAGATGTGGTGCCCATCATGTTCGTCAAGTACAACGCTCCTGTAAATCTTAAGTAGTTCCAGCTCGTGGTGGAAATGAATTACGATTTTAAAGCAGTATTAGTAGTTATTCTGCTCACTCAACGTACAGATAACGTTTGGCGACGAAGTTTGCATAGTTGTAACTATTCTGAAAGTACCACTTCTTACGAATGGAACTAGAACTACTAAAAACTAGAGCGCTATTATCATTGCATATATCTTTCGCCTACCGTTTTATGAACTACCCACTTGGATACTTGGATGTCCTGTCTACACTCGCTGTGCGGGCTTCTGCGTAGTTTCCGCTTTTTCAAGTATTGCTGGTTTAGCCATTATGGTTTCCTGGAGTGCCGGGATCGGCCTAGCTAAAGCCTGCCCGCAGGTCGTCACCACCATAGGCAGTCACCACACTTGTGGGTCAGAGAAGGATTTTCCACCATGCGACTAGTTTGATACCAGGGCGGTGGTGGTTCCTGTTATTGGTTTACAAATAGTTAGGCTTTCTGGTGGAAACCCCGAACTCCTCAGATTGGAAGGCCACGTCGAGGGTGATGAATTTCCCTGAAGGGCACCGCAGCTCGACACCCAGAAACGACTCCCAGCAGGGATGAGACGGTAAACTGTTAAGGAGTTTATAAATTATCTTGTCATAAAGCACTTACTGCATCAGAAGGGCAGTAAGGAACTTCTCAGCTACATCTTTCCAAATGTCTATCATTTCAGATACCACAAATGGAAGGATTTAAAGGAATGGTTGGCAGTCTCATTACAAGAGCGGCAGATGGATGTAACGTTCGGATTGAAATGACAATTCCAACTGCCAGATTTGATCCAATTATTGGCGAGATGGTGGCCAAAATAAAACAGTTCGAGGTAGTTTGGAAAAAAGTCTTCTTATAAGTGATATCACTCTATATAATCGTGTCGATTGCTTTATAGATCCACAAATTTTCTACGCTAAGACGCTGCCGATTTCTTTTCTTCATGTCAACAAAGTATAGAAGCTCTGCTAGCTGTAATGGCTGGTTGAATGCGAAAGCATACCGTTTCATATTCTCTCTTGCCTCCATTGTGGCTACAGCACTTAAAATATTCAATTTCAGAGGCTGATTAAATGGTGTGAGCTAAGTTCTAGTTCATTGTGAAGAATAGACCGTAGGATATCAAATTCCCATATTGGCCCTCTACACGATAATAAGTATTATGGTATTCTGCTAGTCAACACCAAACGCTGAAAATAATGGAGGCATTACCTTAGTTGGAAGACTAGCTCTCATTCGGTGAACCGTATTGTTAGATACTGATCATTTTTGGATTATTTATTGGATAGCAATTCCACTTTCCCAAATATTTTGGCGATTTACGGAACGCTCTTTTGTATGGTCTGCGAACCACATTTGAGAGAAAATGAGTTTTCAAACGCAGAATTTCATGTAATCAGTGCGGCTTTCTAGTTTTAGAGTAATCACTATTCAGGGACAAGCCGGTTGTAAAGTGGAAATCACATACGAAATTACAGGACATGTACATCTCATTGTTCATACCGAGAAGGTGCGGCCAAGTTGTGATTTTTGCTGATTAGTAAAATAGCATTCGCTTCACAATACCGTTGGAATTGATGTTGCGAAATTTCAGGTTGGAGTAATAAAACGGTTCTTATCCGACTTGATAAATTCTCTCGAGGATGACGATGTGACATCACGTCAGTCACCTCCACCTTTCCCAGAGCGTGTTATCATTATACAGAAAGTAGGATGCAGCATATTTATTACGTCGCGGGGATGATCACGGGTTTTCTATGCGCTGTTACTTAGCTGATGTTTGAATTACTGGTTTTTCAGATGCTCCTGCCTCGTTCAAGTGTTGACGTGATAATGGGGAAACGCGGTGAGATAATAAAAGGGATAGAACTGGAGACGAGCACCAAAATTCAATTCAAGGGAGATAGTAAGTGCAACGAGGCTGTGGTTCTAAAACAAGATATTCATACTAGTATGCGATAGGTGATGTATAGTTTTCTTCAAAAATACTCTCAAGACAAACTGCCCTTAGATCAAATGTTTTGTTGGATACGTTCGCTTACAATTTGTCGAAAAGTAGTCTATAGTTCTTTGTTCTTTAGTTTTTCCTAACGAATTCCTTGTGAAATGCCTTACTAAATGATTCATTGCAATATCGCGTTGTTTCCTCAGGGAATCCAGCATCGACACATAGATGTTTGTTTATTGTGGGATCTTCTGAACAGGTAGACAGGGCTATCGAGCTCATTACTGAACTGGTTATTAACAGCTATAGTGGCGTAGCTTTGACAGAAGGTAATAAGGTGAGTCGTAAAATTCTGTGGTTATGTAGACCTTCAATGTTTTGAAAATGCTGCCATTCTTGATTTTCCCCAATGAAGCCATCCTCCTTTGTCATGGGTCACGTTTTTGTTACCTTAGAGCTGAAATTCTTCCAAAGTTACTTTTCATCTAGTTATTAACTGAGCCTCTGCGAGGAAAAACTAGCTGAGCTTTTTTTCCGTCTTCTGGCCTATCGAATTTTCTGTATTTGTTTTTGATTTGTTTGCGTTCATTTGACTATTTTAGCTTCTTCTACTCTTACGTCTTTCTAATTTTCATATTCAGACTTGTGCCGAAATTTCCGATTGCTAAGCAATGGAAGGTTAAAGAGGCGAATTAGATTTTGAACTTCATGACTGAAGTAGCTTATTAAATATCATATCTCATCATTTTTGCATGTCCATTTTCTTCCGGCATTTTCTTTTAAGGATCACTCTTTGTTAACAATAATGGTGTTTTCGGTGAAATACTGAGTTCCGCGAGATTATTAATACATTAGATAAACGATTCCATTATTTATTATCTTCATATTGATCCTATGTGGTATCCGTGGATGTGGTATAGATTATCATTATTATTATTATATTATTATTATTATATTATTATTATTATTTATTTATTATTATTATTATAGATTATTATAGGTATTTATTATAAGGCATGTTTTTACCAGGTCGTTGCCAATACTCCATGGACGCCTGTGCCTCCACTCAGTGTTGGTGTTTCACGAAATGACAGTAATTTTAACGGGCAGTATAGTACTAATTTCTGGAATGCACACGGTACGTTCTAAGAACAGCTTCAGAACCACTTTTAATTACGAGACGTTTTGCTGTTATTCATTTCGAATTAAGCCCAAAAAGCCGATGCTGGCATCACGTGGACAAATCATGCAGGACAATACTACCCTAATTACTCTCTGAACTCTCAAAGTTCCTATGCTAGTCTACAAAATTACAGTAATTTCCACACGAACCTGTCTGCTTGTTCTCCACAAATGGCTAGAAGCTACGGGTTCGTTCTTTGTTGTTGTTATCTTAAATTAGCGACCACTTCTCGAATATTGGCTTCCATAAGCTCAATGTGAAGTGAGTGAAAGTCTAACGTTATTCACTAATGTTTGGAAGCCGGTATGCCTACCAATTAGCTTAGAATGTTTCTTCATTTAATAGTTCGTTGAATCACAAGCACTTTAGCAAGTAGACATAGAGAGTTAGTTAGTTAGTGTCTAAAGCTGTTAAAAATTAGCATTTTCATAACGGTTGTTTCGTCTAAGTGGGCTATAATCTTCTCACGTTATGCTTTCTCTTAACACTGCAGATCTATGGAACACCATGAACACGCGACGTTAAACCAGGCGCAGATGGTGCAAAACGCTGCACTCAGTGGAGCAGCTGCATCAGTGTTTCCGTCACACGCGGCTATTACAGCACAGCGCACGTCTTCAGAGGCATATGCTCCCACTTCTCCCGGAAGTCCCGACCGGCTCAGATACTCTGCCTATTCACATCCACAAACACGAGTTTTCTCTGAGCAGGACAATTTCAGTCACAGCAACTACAATGGCTGACCACTTTTTCATCCTTTCTACTTTTTGTTCGTCTGTTGTAGCAAATAGTTTTCTATCTATGTAGTCTTTTTTGTGTTTTGTATTTATTCATTTTTTTTAACACTGCTCCTCAGTTTTACTTTGTTGTGTTGTACTACAGTATTTTATTGGGTTAAAAATGTTTCCTACTACATCTGTTGTTTTGAATTAAGAGTGGAATCTATTAAGCATTGATTTTTCATCCTTTTGTTGAGGAAGGCCTGAACCTATCTACACTATGGTGATTTTTGGCCCCTTCACGATACGTGTGTGTTCATTAGAGCACAATTAAAATGCGCATTGAAATGAATATGTACGGCCCGTAATTTCGTACAAAGGACGCGCACTGGTTTCTTGAGATTACCGTTCTATTGTTCGGTCTTCTCACATTCTTCCAAGTTGCTCTGGTCTCTACATATCTACTATGTTCTTCTATAAACGATTCCGTGCCCTTGGACACCTCTTGTGTGACGCAAAAGAATTCGGCCATTACTTAACTATGATGTTACTAGCTTGGTTTTATGTGACAGCTAGGGTAACTTTTTCTATCTTTTTCGTGTTTTTATATCCAACGATTTTAAAATGCCATCTGAAACGGGTTTTCTTAAGTATAGCTGACAATGCTCTGCTATGGGCCAGCCTCAGTATAAAATCTATCTTCGGCAAGCAATCGATTGACTACAAAAGGTCATAAATGTGTTAGGTGATCAAAAAGTGATGCAAGTACATAAACATATTAAAATTGAAGTAGCTTTGGTCAGCTCTATGCACTAAACAACGTTCTTAAAACACTTTCACAAACGCAGCCACTTTGACGTAGCAGACCCATCCGACGGCGTGTCGTTGAAGTGCGCTTCTCAGATGCGCATTGAAATCGCGATAGAGTTTTAAGGATACAGTACTGTGCATATTTAAGTCAATGCACATTGTCGTGAAAGGGTTAATTACTCTTTCTTCTTCGCAAGACAAGTCACTGCAGCTGCATTTCTCGTTTCAGCAAGACGTTGTGTGCAGCGGGCTGCAATCAGCGCTGTGTCCGACTCTACTAGATATTTCACCTGTATCAAACGAATCACCCCTCGTGTTAAATTTAGGTTTCTCGTTCCGTAACCGAGATGTTTACTTTGTTTGCCTGTTTTTAAAGAAATAAGACTCTATGACATAGGTGATACAATAATTAAAAAACGCCACTAGCACTCGTGACGCATTAAACATCACATCAGCAGTATTTGGTATTTTTTGAGAACGCTTGCAATGAATTGACGTTTTAACTTTGTTTTTTGTTTAGATGGTTAAAGAAATTAAAAAATTAAAACTGTCTACTATGTGGATATTCAATGCCTATTTTCTTTTTTGTCTAGAAAATAGAAAGTCTAGAAAATAAACCGTGAGTAATTTTTGTTCGCGTGACAGTTGTTCTGGATCGTGCACAAGAGTACATGGAAACGCAATAACTCCTGGAAAGTTATTTCTCGATCGGTTTTTCCATCTTGGAGAATTTGACCAGCCTCGACCATTCGACACGCCCATCGAAGCACCAATTGACCGTATCGAATGGTCAACTAAGTCTATGTGAGAGAGCCAGTGCTAACGAACATTCGACACATTGGCATGGTTCACCACCACCAGTGGAATGTATCGAAGTGAATTGTCATTCAAAAAGTGTCGATAGTGAACTGAATTAGAATTTCTTCAGTGAGGTATCTTTTGCATAATTTGCTACCTGAGTGATGAGGAAGGAACTGAAATGTTAAGTGCATTAACAACTTTCTCTTTTCAGAGTGCCCTCTATATTGCAACTTTAAGATGTGACCACGAACTATACTTTCCTCCATAGTGACGCTGACCCCACCAAATAGAATAAAGTAGGGCATAGCCACGTAGTTTCACCAAACATCAATTCTAAATTTCTTTGTTTGCTTCGTTTCCTTTCGAGTTGTCAAAGTACTGCAGGCTCTCATCTTCCGCTTAGCTGAATTATGTTAATTAATTATTAATTGAACATGGCTCAACTGCAATTCGAGCTACGAATGAGTCAGCCTGTGTTGACATTTTGCATCATCAAAGTGACCGCTCCATGAAGTCCTAACGGAGAAAACTGCAAATATCAGTCCTACTTTCTGCCATTCTATTCACATGAAGAGCACATGAGTCTGAAAAAGTGCCGTAGAGACTTGTATGACTATAATGTTTCGCCGTCAGTCCTGATGAACAAAAATGGGATCGTCACAACTTCCTGCCATGATATGGAATTAGTAGCGGAAACGTTCTACACCAACATTTTTCGTTCCACAATCCTCGTCCCGGGCACTAATATCCCTGCTGGAGCAAAGCCACACGGAATTCTTCCGTCGGAGGTTCGAGTTGCGATAGAAAGTATGAAAAGAAGCACAGCTCCAGGACCCGATAATATTACCGCCGCCTTCCTTAGATTTGGAAGCCACAATTTACATGTACTTCCCCCAAATCATGTGAGAGCGTACCTTCGAAAGGAAAAAATCCCAGACCAGTGGAGGACTTCGCGCACGGCTCTCCTGCCCAAGAAAGCGAACCGAAGGGATCTTCGTAACTATCGTCCCATCTGCTTGTTGAGTGTACTCTACAACTCTACAAGCTCTTCACGAAGGTTATCCTCTCGCGCATATCAAAAACAGTGGATGAGGCGCAACCAGTTGAGCAAGCAGAATTTCGAAAAAGATTTTTCTGCAGGGACCACAACCAAACAACATCCAGGGTCATCGAAGTTTGTTGGGAATACCACTTGCCTCTAGTCCTAACCTTTGTCGACTATGAGAAAGCGTTTGACAGTGTCGAAAAGAATTCAATCCTATCAGCATTCGTCGACCAAGGAGTGGAGCCGTCTTGCATAAGGACTCTGTCCAACTGTTATTGGAACTGCACTACGAAAATGAAGCTTTTCCAACGACCTCTTACAATACTCATAGGAAAAAGGGTTCGACAGGGCGACACAATGTCGCCAAAGCTGTTCAGTGCCGCACTGCAGTGGATAATGAAGTCACCCGATTGGGGTGAGAAAGGCATACGTANAGTGTACTCTACAACTCTACAAGCTCTTCACGAAGGTTATCCTCTCGCGCATATCAAAAACAGTGGATGAGGCGCAACCAGTTGAGCAAGCAGAATTTCGAAAAAGATTTTTCTGCAGGGACCACAACCAAACAACATCCAGGGTCATCGAAGTTTGTTGGGAATACCACTTGCCTCTAGTCCTAACCTTTGTCGACTATGAGAAAGCGTTTGACAGTGTCGAAAAGAATTCAATCCTATCAGCATTCGTCGACCAAGGAGTGGAGCCGTCTTGCATAAGGACTCTGTCCAACTGTTATTGGAACTGCACTACGAAAATGAAGCTTTTCCAACGACCTCTTACAATACTCATAGGAAAAAGGGTTCGACAGGGCGACACAATGTCGCCAAAGCTGTTCAGTGCCGCACTGCAGTGGATAATGAAGTCACCCGATTGGGGTGAGAAAGGCATACGTATTGATGGAGTATTCCTATCAAGCCTTCATTTTACCGATGACATTGTCATATTCTCAATAAGTACTCCATGGTACGAAGGCGAACGAATTGAATTGGATGGCTCTGTCATTTCAGAGACCAACTCGCACGTATACCCTGGGTGATCAATGAACATGAAAAACAACATGAAGGAGGAACTGGACAGAAGAACGAGAGCAGCTTGGACCGCGTTCGGACCTCTCAGAGGAGCCACTGATTAACTGAAGGATTTGAAAATCCGCGTTCTTTTTTCTTTCTTTTTTTCTTATTTCTTCGATTCTACGGTCCTCCCAGCGCTCTGTTATGTTGCAGAGACGTGGGTCGATACATCAACCACGTCAAGAACGCTTCGCACTACTCACAGAGCGCTTGAGCGATGTCTTTTGAAATAGAATCGGCACTCTCAATGTCTAGCCGGAATGCGAAGCTCTGATCTTCGGAAACTGTCACATTTTCGAGATCCAGGAGAATATACATCAAGAGCGAAGCTTGGATGCGCCACTCACATAATGAGAAGGACAGACGACAGATGGACGAAAAGGACTGTACAGTGGACTCCACGAGAATGCAAAGGTTCCCTTAGACGGTCTCCCACACTTTGGCAGAGCGTGTTGGAGCCAAAGTTATTCAACTATACTCACAGGTGCAGTTGTTTTACAGACCACGGTATTAGATTCAGACCATCAATCGAGCTAGAATAAAACCACCAGCAAGGAGGGCGATTGCAAGGGAAAGAAACTAATCTCAAATGTGCATAGTTCCGCACAACGCGTGAAGAGAGGCCGTCCAAATATTCAAATAAGTATAAAGAGCAGAATGTAGGGATAGAAATGTTAGCGCTTCCACGGTGAGGTGCCTAGTTTTTTGCATAAAAAGAACCTCAACTTTTGCCGATTTTACTTGGACATCTATAAACAACAAGCCAACAACATATCTCAACCGAGAAATGTAAGGAGGTTATATTACCTTCACTGGTGTGAGGGTGTGACTCTCCGTCCTAATGTGTCATATGAGCTACTGTAATTTCTCTATTTTAACAAATGCTTTGCTCTACAACCAAATTTAACGATGGATGGATTTGTATGCGGGTTCCATTGCGATTTGGAACCTTTTGTTTCTTTTCCTATTCACGTGTTTAATGCTGTCTGAGCAAGCGTGATTTTCCCTGGAAGTTTCTAGGTGACCGTGCAACTACGTTTTCATGCCTTAACCACTTGAATTGTTTCGAAAATGTGGATAGGAAAAAAAGCGAACAATCCTAAGGATTCATGCGATTAGTTTGCTAAACGGTGCAGGTACATAACTGTAGTTTCGCAGAGGTAATGAAGAGTTTGGCTTATAAATGCATCGCTAATGATTGAAGTTCAAGAATTTCAATGAAGGAGAGGAACAGCTAGGCGTAAAGAACACCGTTTTCAGAAAAATACAACAGTGCTTCTATGTCGTCCACCGTTGGTAGT